CATACAAAATTTATTAAATTTAAAAAATTTTCTTTTACATTTTTTATGCGATATTTATGTTTCCAACCGATTATATCAGGTCAGCCAGGTCAACCGATTATATCAGGTTAGCCGGGTCAACCGATTATATTGGGTCAGCTGGGTCAACTGATTATATCGGGTCAACCGATTATATCGGGTCAGCCGGGTCAACCGATTATATCGGGTCAACCGAATAACTGGGTTAACCGGTTAAGCTTTTACCTAACCGGGTCACCCAATTTTTTCGGTTCAGTTCGGTTACTCGATTATTGTCTAACCGGGTTATATCATTATATATACTATGGGAATATCAAGTCCCTTTAACTTTACATGGCTCTATATCTCGTGATGCATACACTTACATAATTTAGCATTATCAATAGAAATTTCTCTGCGTGCCCCATACTATAAGAGCACATGTTTTTATTTTTGCTTAACCTTTCTAACATTTCAAGTTTTGGGTGAGAGATAAGAAAAATATATAAAAAGGCAGTATCTAAAATTTATTGTTATTTGTCACTTTATAGTGATTCAGTTTTTATTATATTAACAAGCCTGTTACTTTTTTATCTCAAATTAACTATGCAATATAACTTCATTGTATGTTTTTATTTTTGGTTTTCTTTGCATCACATTACCAGAGCATATAACTGCGTATTTAGTCATTTTTCAGGCAATAAATGAAGAGCTCTCGATCAAAAAAGATGATTTAAAACAAATATTTCACTAAGCAATTTCAGCTATTATGCCATCATACAGACCTAATTCAAAAAATATTAGAAGCTTCAGAGTTTGCTATCAAAGGTTGGTGAAATAATTGTTTTATAGAAAACCTTTTGTATTATAGGATGATAACACAGAATATTATCCTGATAACTGATACAAAATTATATCCAAAACCATACAAGCCCTGGTTTGATCTTGTATTAATCCACAGACGTATAGAGCTATTTTTTGTTTTTAGTTTAAGATGAAAGCATGTATTGTGTAATTTATCATCTATATACTGGCCACACATGGCTAATAATATTGCATAATAAAAATTTGACGTGTGTATACACGACTTTAGAATAATTATTTATAGTAGCAATATATAGTAATTTATTTTTTTTTCTGCACTAGTTTGATGATGCTTTCGAAGAAGTACATAGTCTTTGGGATTTGAGACCACCAGACAAGAAGATTTATCCACTGAGACAATTGAAAATAATTTGCAAGTATTAAAAGGGAACTTTAAAAACAGTAAAGCATAGTATGCCAAGCTCTTATGAAAGATAATAGTTAATAAGGTTAAGTCCTTAAACCTTTCATAGCATGATCCAACTGCAAGCCAAGTTCTCAGTAGTGAAGCAAAGGAGGTTAAAGAATTACTAAAAAAAGAATATGAGTCTTTTATAGTAAGAATAAATATATTTCAATTGTGTTTATAGATAAAAATCATCTTTACATAGTGTCGAATGTTTAAAATTAATAAGATATATATTACTAGGAACTGGCGAAAAAGATGGAGATATCTTTTTCTCCTCAATAGAAACACTATGTAATAATTTTTTAACAAACTATGACGATAGCTCTACAGAAATACCTCTACAAAAACTTTCTTATAAGAATTGGAGAGAGAGTGAAGAGGTTCTTAAAGATATTTTAGTTGAAATACTTGAGACTTTGTAAGTATAATATCGAATATTAACTAATTTATAAAATTAAATAACAATAGTATTTTTTTATATCATAGAGAAGAGATCTGGAAAAATCCAGCTTTTACTTCTAAATTTGCTAAAACACAGAGCGAGGGGACATATGTAGCAGATATTATTGTTTTCATTATTTGAGCCACATTAAAAAATTTGTTAATTGGAAAATCTGCATATATTAGTATGTAAATAAACTTTTTATTTTTTTCTAAAAACAGTTTTTTTATTTATTGCAAAGCAGAATGGCAAAGTTTGGCTAGCAAGGACAAAAGGGGAGAGAGAGAAAAGCGTCCAGACATTATGTTCATAGCGAAACATATGGATAGAATCTATAAACTAGTGTTTAGTGAATATTCACATATTGTTTGTAATGACACCAAAGAAGATAATAATAGAGTAAAATTGTAGCAAGAGCTTAATGATAGCTTATATTGGACGAATAGAAAATGCAAATTAGAAGAAAAAAATGAGTTTGGTATTCTTGAATTTCAGATTGCAGGACAGAAATTTGATCTATATGTCCTTATTCATAATGATAATAATATAAGCTGTCTTTTTCTCTTAAAATCAGTGATCATTCCGATACAATATACAAATGATAGAAAAGTTATATTTGATTTTATAGAAGCTTTATTGTTGCTATGAGTATGTATTTATTTATATTCTACATCACATTATTCTGAAAATAATTATCTAAGACTTTTTAAATTACAGAGAATTTTGATTGTTGACCTGTCTTTGCTATTTAATTTTGGAATTAATGATAGTGATGAAGATAGTTCAACAGTTTTTACTTCGTAAATGAGTAGAAATATAATTTGTTTTTATTTTTTTATTCTGTATTTTGTTTTTATTTTTTATATCAATAAAGCTTGGCCCTAGTAGCTGATTTCGCATACATAATCAGTTTACTTTTGCATATGTATTTCGTGAATTTATTTATTGTATTGATACTGATGTATAACTCATATATGATCGAGAATTTTTAAAAATTTTCTTGGTATTTTTTGACGAACATCGTTCTGTGAAATTTCATCACATGACTTCTGGTTTGGTTCTCTCAAAAAGATATCTTATAAAAATAATTGAAATTAAAAAGCATTAGAATAACAAAATATTTTTCAGCACTTTGTGTAGACACAGCCAAGACATGGTTAATAAAAATCTTTTTTTAAGCATTTGTGATAAAGTTATATAATATAATATTAAATATGTGAACACAGGGAGAAAAGACTAAAAACTTATCCGAAACTAGTTCATTACAAGAATTAAATTCAAAGCTTATTGCTATAATTGCAAAACTTAAAAGGAAGAATTCTGAAATCAAGACTGAGAATATCGAATTTAAAGCTGAGAATGTAAAAGTTAAAACTGAAAATAAAAAATTAAAACAAACTTTAGAAGAACATAGTGCCAGATTTACAAATCTAGAACAGAAAGATAAAGAAAAAACCAACCTTATTGCTAAACTTAAGCAGAATGATAAAAAAAAATGGATCTTATAGCTAAATTGGAATATGACATTTCACTAATTAAAGGACAAAACAAGAGTATGGTGTGCAATCAAATCATTACTAATGTTTTGCAAGATGTAGAACCTAGAATCTCTGATTCATATCTTGTAAATTCTAATGATGTTCCTGAAGATATAAATTTACTATGTGATAATATTGATATAACTAATAATGCTTCAAATTCTGATAAACATCAAGAAAAAACTTCATCTCGAGTCTCCAATTTATCTTCAACTGCATTAGCTATATGCATAAAGCCTAAATCATTAGAAGGCAAGAAAATAAATAATTTTTTGATTGAAAAATATAATAAACAGATTTATAACTAAATAAGAGAAAAAAAGCTTCAATATAGGCCACTTACTGAAAGTTCTCCAAAAGAGAACACTTATATATCTAATATTAAATCTAGTATTCCTCCCGAGCAGAAAAAGGGGCAAGGTTTAATATAAGAGATTTTAACACCCATTAAAGATCAGAATGATATAACTAGAATTTTACAGAACAATGTTCGTCAAAATCATATAACTGAAGTCACTTCAGACCAAGATATCATTTGTTTATACCAAAATGCATGTGATGCAAAAAAAGACACTATCAAAGCTAATTAAGAAAAAATATTATGCTGATATTTCTACACTAAAAAGTTTAAAGGTATGGTTAAAGATTTTATGGCTAATGGTAGAGATGGAGAGAAAAAAGCAAAAGAACAAGTATACGATTTTATTATTCAACAATTTCCTAACACAAAGCATAAAAACTTATACAAGCAAACATAAAAAGCATTAAGAATTTATAACTTATTCGAGAAAATAGGAATAGATAAGATTCAGTATACCAAATCTTATACTGCAAATAGTATTTCAAGATTTACTAATTTACAGATTCAAATGATTATTAATCATTTCACTAAAAACTCTGCAATAGAATTCATTGATAATTTAATCAAAACTGAGATTAATGAAGAAGCTAAAAGAATTTCATTAGAAACAGAGTTAAGTATTACAACCACCCTCTCTATTTTGTTGTCTCATACATATAATTCGGAAGTTATGATAAATGAGAATGTCAAATCTTTGCCAGAAACTAAGGTAAGCATATCTGCTAAATTGATTTCAAAGGAACCAGAAACTGTAAATATATTTGATAAGTATAATGAAAATGATGGTGAATTCTCTGATGATAATGATGATAAATTCTCTGATGATAACGATGATGGGGATTATTGTGGTTTTTCTGACAAAGATAAACCAGGTTATTACTATGATTTAAGTAGCAGGAAAAAAACTTATAAGAATTTTGATTATTTAATCAATGTATATTAAAAGCATAGATTAATAAAGTTAATTTAATAGTTTTCACTAATTAATAATCACAAACTGCATTGTAAAAAATCGTGTAAAAATAAAACATGGGAAGGCCACAGGACTCTTCTTTATTTAATAAATTTTTTTTTTTGCCAAAATAGGAACATATAAATAAAATAATACAAATACGAATAAAAAATCAAAAGCTATAGTAATCACGAGTTTTTAATACTTTTGAAAATGTTATAGGGTTGATATTAGGATAATAATACAGAATTGGATAATCAAGAATTATGCCCACACCAGATAGCTTTTTTTGATCATTTTCTGGATTAGAGTTATTAGTTTTGGGCATTACTATCATTGGTCTTGAAAGTGGTGTTATCATTAGTTTTGGGGGTATTGTTGGTCTTGAAGGTGGTGTTATTTTTAGCGCTCATTTTTCATTTCTAAATACAAAAAATCGAAGTAAGCAAAAATTTGTTTTCATAGTTTCCATTAAATAAAATAGCAAATTACTTAAAAAAATACAGGCAAGTGAACCAAATAAAAATATATATAAGCAAAAAATAACATTATTGCTAATTTATCTTGTGAATGGGAGCTTGTTTATTTTATACTTTATGTTCGTTAGGTCTGAGAACCTGCTAGAAGGAAAAATCTATTAGTAATTACATTACCCAAATCCAACACCAGTTTTTTCTCTATAAAGCAACTCTGCTCGGTCATAAGTTCCATATACTGAAGCTATTTTGTTATTTTTTCTGGTAAAATTAACCCCCTTAGATTCAACGATTGCTTAAGAAAGGTTTAGATCTGACGATCTCGGAGATGGCGGAGATTCCAATTCCTGTAATATGTAAATTTTGATAAAAATATTAATAAAGAATATTATACTCATTGCCCTTATAGCCTTTTAAACCCTATTCATGCCTTTTCTTATCATAGAATCATATATTATATAAAAGAAAATGGTCTTTCTACTTATAAATATTAGGGCAAAATTGACATGGGAAAGTAATTCTGCAGTAAAGTAATACTGCATAAATTTAATGTATGCAGTTAAGTAATACTTTACATAGCATTTTGACATGATTATTTACCAGTATTATGAAAGTTTGGCCAGCATTATTCACATAAAAATTACGTAAAATTATGTAAAATTTCTAATTTGCATGTATCATAGCCACAAAAGTAGTATATGTACTGCACATTTCTAAATCGCTCTAATTTATCTTTTCAAGATCAACACAAAAGCATACTATTCTTCTAGA